ACACACACACACACACACACACACACACACACACACATAAGAAAGAAGAGCATGTGCAAAAAGGGTGGAGCTATTGCAGTATACAGTGTGTTAAGTGGAGGAGTTGTACAAAGAGATGGCCTCAGGCAGGAGTGATTTCCTGTGTTGTTCAGTGGTGCTTTTTGGTAATCTCAGTCTCTCACTGAACGTGCTCCTGTGACTGACCAGCGTGTCATGGAGTGGGTGGGAGGTATTATCCAACATTGTTGGATAATGTTGGTTGACTGGTAGACAAAAGTCAGACAAAAGTCTGAGAATCGAGGGAATTTGATCTTTGTTTGTTTGTTTGTTCTTTTAAATGAATACAGACTAATTTCAGTAAGATCAAAGTGTCGTGTGGATGTCTTTGTGCTGTGCTAGATGAGATCATCTGGCCTGAGGGGGATGAAGCTCTGCCTCAGGATGCACAGGACCTTATTTCCAAGCTGCTAAGACAAAATCCTCTGGAGAGACTGGGCACAGGTAATGCACTGTAAAGCAAAAGAGTTTTTCAAGAATTAGATAAACATTACCACAAAGAAGTGCTACACTAAGATAAGACAAGACAAAACATAAAAATGTATGTGACCATAGGAGTGTGCTGGTGTGCCTGTGTGAATTATTTAAACAGATTTTTATTTTGACCTTGGCAGTGTGTCAGTAAAACTGCTTTGGTTGCTGAACCTTCAAAGAAATCAGTAGCGTTGCCTTTGCCGCTGTGTGAAATTGCAATATTGTGTTGGAACCCATTCATCTCAACTCCCTTATCATTTCAGTCATGTAGAAATAACTGTTACTACACAGTCAAAAGTTTGGACACACCTTCTCATGTAATGGTTTTCCTTTGTTTTCACTGCTTTCTACATTGTAGATACAGCCACCACCCTTTGCCACTCTTTGCTTTTTTGACTTTTGTGATGTAGTCACCTGAAATGGTTTTCACTTCACAAGTGTTCCTTGTCAGGGTTCATTTGTAGAATTGAACTACTGTTAGAACTCATATTATGGCAAGAACCAATCAGCTAAGTAAAGAGAAACGACAGTCCATCATCACCAACATCACATCAGATTAGAGGCCAAATAAGCGCCACACAGTTCCAGTAGCAGACACATCTTCACATCAACTGTTCAGAGGAGACTGCCCAGATCAGGCCTTTATGGTCAAATAGCTCCTAAGAAACCACTACTAAGGAAAACCAACAAGCAGAAGAGATTTGTTTGGGCCAAGAAACACAAGGAATGAACATTAGACCAGTGGAAATCTGTGCTTTGGTCTGATGAGGCCAAATTTGAGATCTTTGGTTCCACTCACCGTGTCTTTGAGCGACGCAAAAAAGGTGAACAGATGGTCTCTACATACATGCTTCCCACCGTAAAGCATGCAGGAGGAGGTGTGATGGTGTGGGGGTGCTTTGCTGGCAACACTGTTGGGGATTTATTCAAAATTGAATGGCACAGTGAACCAGCATGGCTACCACAGCATCCTGCAGCAACATCCCATTTCTGTTTAGTTGGACCATCATTTATGTTTTAACAGGACAATGACCCCAAACACACCTCCAGGCTGTGTTAGGGCTATTTACCAAGAAGTAGAGTGATGGAGTGCTGCGCCAGATGGCCCGGTCTCCTCAGTCACCTGACCTAAGCCCAATTGAGATGGTTTAGGATGAGATGGACTGCAGAGTGAAGGCCAAACGGCCAACAAGTGCTCAGCATCTCTGTGAACTCCTTCAAGACTGTTGGAAAACCATTTCAGGTGACTTCCTCATGAAGCTCATCGAGAGAACGCCAAGTGTGCAAAGCAGTAATCAAAGCAAAGGGAGAAGACGTGTCCAAACTGCTGACTGGTAGTATATAGTGAAAAACTTATTTTGGAATGTAATTCTCTTTCTTCCCATGTTTCAGAGGCCTTTTGTGTTCCGCATCACTGTCTTTGGCTTTTTTGTAGATGTTCAGTTAGACCCTGTCAGCATGCGTTCTGCTAACTTGTAGGTTGTTCTTTGATGCTTGTGTTCCCCACTCCACCTCCACCCCATCACCTACCCACCATATATATCTCAATCCTTTCTATCTTCTCTTTAATTTTTCAACTCCACAGGAAGTGCCTTTGAGGTGAAGCAGCACCAATTCTTCACAGATCTGGACTGGAACAGCCTGCTAAGACAGAAAGCCGAGTTCATCCCCCAACTGGAGTCAGAGGATGACACCAGTTACTTTGACAGTATGTCTGCCAGTGCCTTACAGAGATTGTTCACTGTTTGAAAGTCATGTAGTCTCGTCACAACCAACATGTGTCTGTCTCAGCTCGTTCTGATCGCTACCACCACGTGGATTCAGAGGAGGAGGACGATACCAATGATGAAGAACACGTGGAGATACGACAATTCTCCTCCTGTTCGCCTCGCTTCAGCAAGGTACACATTGACTCATCCATGTCTTGTACTTTTAAATCAGCTGGATCTTTATTTGGAAGGTTATGCTCAGTAAATAAGCCAAAACCCTCAAATGACAGATATCAGTGAAATAAATGACCTTTTGATAATTTAATATTAGATACTAACATATTTTTGATTGTTTTAGTGTGTTTGAACTGATACACTTGGAGGATATTCTTAATGCCAGGGCAGCTTACCATTTGATCCTGAGGACCATCAAAAATTTTGGCATTGCATATATATTCAGAGTCAGAAAGGATTAAGAGTCTCTGCTCTAAAGATGATGTCTGATGCAGAGAAATGTTTTTATAGGTGTACAGCAGCATGGAACGTTTGTCTCTGCATGAGGAAAAGAGGACACCTCCTCCCACCAAACGCAGCCTCAGTGAGGAGGGAGGAGATCGCATCGACAGCCTGAGTGGACTCAAGTCCAGAGATCGATCTTGGATGGTGGGATCTCCGGAGATGTGAGTTAATCTACAAAAAAGACAACAGATATTTCCGAGCAGACATGTCTGTGCAAATCCACATTGGGTATTTGTGGGTGAGCTGTGGGGTTGTGTGGTCTTGTTGACAAAAACCCGCGTGGGCCCCGGGCCTGCTCATGGTCCATAGCAGTTTTGCCCTTTTGTGGCTCCAGTAGGGAAACCCACACATAAACAATGGGCATACTGTGGGTATGTCCCACTGTCGTCCAGTTGGGCCCCACATTTCATGCCAGTTCTTGCGGCCACAGTAGGCTGTGGGCCATATGTATTTACCCAAATTTCCCCTGCATGCCCCAAGTGAGCATGTTTGCTGGTTTATGTACTTTTTGCTTTATTTCTAGTTAAAAATTATGATGATGATGATGTTGTCAGCTTTATTTAGTAGCTGTTCATGTGTTTGTTCTGTCCTGTCCTTCACCTTTACAGCCTGCGGAAGCGTTTGTCAGTCTCTGAGTCTTCCCACACAGAGAGTGATTCAAGCCCACCCCTGACAGTCAGGAGACGCTGCTGCTCTGCTATCATTGAGATGCCGCGCTTTGCTATCTCTTCAGAGGAGGAAGGAGGCCAAGGGCAAGGTAAAGAAAGGCTAGCTCTGATAAACTGAAATAACCAAATTTCAGGGCAAAACTGTCCTTCAGCACAGTCTACAAACAACTGCCTACAAGTTGTTGCTGAAGCTTTTAATTTTTACCAGTTCCTGCATTTACCTGCCACAAAATCCCCCAGTTTCTTCTGATAAATATGCTGTATCTGTCATGCTCTTTCATGTGCATGTCCAGTACACATAGCACAGCGAGTAGCTTAGCCCAAAAGAAGTTACTCATAAATGTTTTATTTATTTATTTTTTTAAAAAGATGTAATAAGATATAATAAGTTGTAACTTATTTGTGCCTCTAATTTGCTGATTTCTAAGGTGCACTTGGAAGTCGAAAGAGTCCCAGCCTGCTTGGCCCAAATGCAGTCAGGGGCCTGCGATGTGATGAGCTGCCCCTCGCCATCCCAGAGCTTCCAGTGGAAAGAGAGCTGAAGCTTGACGAGTCTCCCACCACACCAAGCTCCACCTCCAGCCAACTGAGCAAAGCCACACTCACTCGTCAGTGTAGTTTAAACACCTTATATACTAAGATAAAAATGTTAATGCTAATAGTACTAATGTGGTTTGTTGTTTTTAGGGGGATTAAATGGGTCACATGAAAAAGTTACAAATATGAAGATGAATATGAACGAAAAAGATTGTTTCCACATCTTGTAAAGCTTTCAGATGTGACCTAATTTGCTACTTTTGGTGTTATTCCTCAATTTTCCCATGTGAATACAGCAGGCAGTTCAGGCGATGCGTGCGAACGTGCCAACAGCAGTAACGGTGGTGCCAGCGGAGGTGCCAAAGCTGCAGCAGACAGCGACTCTCCCTCCATTCCAAAGGCCATCAGTGACCTGGCAGCTCGTAGGGCTCGCCATCGCATGCTGTCTGGAGATGCAGACAGACACGCAACGACCAGGCCGCTCAACAAGGTCATCAAGTCGGCCTCGGCTACAACGCTGTCGCTGATGATTCCTGCAGGTGCTTTCAAACATTCAAAAAATTAGGTTCTTAAAACAAAACCAAAAAGACAACATGAACAGCATTAACTTGGTCATAGTATTTTGAATTATTGTGGACAGCTGCTGTCCTTTGCACTAGAGTAGAATGAATCTGCAACCATGCTACATGAAATCAGCTATAATCTGTCATGTTTTGTTCTTTGTGTGGTTTTTGCGTTTTGTTTTGGGTTTTTTTATTTTGTTTTTTTTGTTTTTTGAAAGACCATCATGGCGCCTCGCCATTGGCCAGCCCGATGTCTCCCCACTCACTGTCATCCAATCCATCATCACGAGACTCTTCACCAAGCCGGGACCTGTCTCCAGCTGTGACTAATGTCAAACCTGCCATCATCATCCACAGAGCTGGAAAGAAGTATGGCTTTACTCTGAGAGCCATCCGAGTGTACATGGGTGACTCTGACATCTACACTGTACATCACATGGTCTGGGTGAGTGTCGCACCAGATTTAGTAATGATACTGATGATAAGTACCATATGTTTAAAAGAAAAACCGAACTGGTGACAGCAGATAGCTGCCCCTGACTGATTCTGGTCTTCCCTAAGGCTTCTTCCTGTTAAAAGGGAGTTGTTTTCTCCCTGCTGTCACCAGGTTTTTGCTCATTAGCTTTTTGTCTGATTGCTGGGCTTTATTTTCAAATACTGCAGGGTCTTGACCTATACCATAAAGTGTGTTAAGACGACTGTTGTTGTAAATTTGTGATATATATTGAATCAAAAACAATGGACTATAGGACACAAGGATAAAGCTAAAGCTACAGCGGGTGTATAAAATGTCAGTTAAATACAGAATGTAATGATTTGTAAGACATTGCTTTTAAGGATATGAAGGAAAGTAAACTTGATAAAATACATCAAGTAAAACAAACACATCAGCAGATGAATGGCTACTCGCTTTTGAAACTGCCAGCAGGACATTTAAAAATAGTTGTAGCAGGGACACATTTAGGCTTGTTTGGTAATTCTCTCTTTAAGTGAAATTCTGTAAGTTTTTGGAAACTGAGAAGAGCAAATGAAGTTGTTCTGAAAGCTAAATGTTTTCCATTTTCTTACTTGATAGAATATTTCAGGTGTTCAACATTTAGTGCCCCCCTTTATTGTGTTTGTCTTTATAAATGTTTGTAGTTGACAGGTCCGGGCTGCAGGCAGGCCAGTTTTGCATCGGCAGCTTTATTACAATATAGTCATAAAGTCATGTTTGTGTTGATGAAATAAACAAGGTCTTCCTTGAAAGGTAAAATGCATTGCTTCAAAATCTGTATACATTGCGGCAGCCTTCACAGATGTGAGAAACTACCCATCCTATGTGCACTAATGTACCCCAACTGGCTTTCAGCTGCTTGCAGATAACAAGCTTGGTCTGTCTCTGCTACAGGACAGACCAAGTTTTCATTGATGAGAGCTCAGGATAGTTTTGAACTTTTCCTCTTAAATTGGCGTGGGCTCAGAGAAGGTAGCTCCTTTTCTGGATCGTATTTGTTTGTTGTGTGCATAGCAGAGTTTTAACTAACGTTTGTAGATGCAGCTGCTATTTTCACCGAGATATCTGAAAACACAATTTGTATCAGATTTAACAATAAAAAAATATTTTTTTTGTTTTAAGCTGTTAAACTATTTGGCCAAACTGTCTGTCATGTGTGGTAGCTCTTTCCCCATTATCACTTTGTTTTAACAGATGTCTGTGAAAGGACTCTGTAATAGTATCACTGTGTTTGCAGGTTTCTTGTTGTTTGACAGAAGGTGGCAGTAATAGTACTTTTTTCGTTCACTTTCTCCCTCCTCTTTTTTTTCCCCTTACACTCGTCTAACTCTCTGCTCACTGCCAGCATGTGGAGGAAGGGGGACCGGCCCACGAGGCAGGGCTCAGAGAGGGTGACCTGATCACCCATGTTAATGGGGAGCCGGTCCATGGCCTGGTTCACACAGAGGTAGTGGAGCTTATTCTAAAGGTACGGGATCACAACCTTTTGTACTCACTAAAGTAACTTTTTCAGCGGACAGCAAAAACATCAGTCTTCTCCTTCTGTTTGTGTCCTTTCAGTTTAAATCGATTCTTTGCAAAATAAAGATATGAGTCAAGCTGATAAAAATTCTGTGACCTTGCATGTGGTAACAGAATTTTACACCTTGCATGTGTATGAGTTGAGAAGTCAGACCTTTCGACTTCTCAGCTCCTACACACAACTTTAAATGTTTTGTAAAGATATCTTTTTCTGAAAGTAAGAAATGTTTCTATTGCTTGGTCGTCACTCAGAGTGGTGCCAAAGTGTCCATCTCTGCAACCCCGTTTGAGAACACGTCCATCAAAGTCGGCCCTGCTCGAAAGACTACCCACAAATCCAAGATGGCAAGACGAAATAAGAAAACCAAGAACAAGGAGGGACAGGACAGGTGGGAAATATACACACACAAGTCGAGCAATAACAAGCGTGCTAGTGCAAAGAATTCTTGAACAATCTTAGGAGTTTGTTGGACAGTTAGACTTGTTTCAGTTTGTTGAAAACATTTCACCTCTGATGGATCAGAGGTGTCTTTGGTTTAAAAACAGTCCCAGAACAGGGATGTTGCGACAATGACAGTGGGACTCTTCACCTTTTGCCCTTTGATCAGTGGTTGTTGATCAATGGTCGTGACAATTTGCATATTAATGATCAGGGAACTGACCTCACAGCCCATTGTTCGTCAGTGGTGCTAGTTTCAGTCATTGTGCAAATGTACTGTTTATAAGATTGGGGAAACCTGCAGTCTGCTGAGACTGAAGAAGTCACTTGGATGAGTGACAAAATGTTTCTCCCACTGAAAACGCTACGTCCAGATGAGCAGAATCCACCTTTTGGAATTTACTTACCAGGATGATCCAGCATGGATCAATGCTTCTTACCTTTTGCTTTTTTATAACTAAAAATCAGGTTGGATGAGAGTTTAAATGTCTTCAAACATAAAGAAGTCCACTTACCTCCTCTTTAAGCTCCTAAGACCATGACTTTTATGACTGAGAACCTACACAGACAGTTCTTGATCAATTAATTGTTTCACCTCCCACAGTAAGAAGAGGACATCTCTTTTCCGGAAAATTACCAAACAGGCATCTCTCCTCCACACTAGCCGCAGTCTGTCCTCTTTAAACCGCTCACTGTCATCAGGGGAAAGTGGCCCCGGCTCACCAACACACAATCTGTCACCTCGGAGCCCAACACAGGGCTACAGGTCCACGCCAGACTCCGCGCATTCAGGTGAGACACACATTTGGATAGATTTTTGTTTTTAAATCTGTGTGTGTATGTCTGTTTTTTGTTTTGTTTTTTTACATGTGCAAAACACACATTCAAAATAAAACGAATCATATTTGGTATATCTCCGCTACATTATTGTTCTTCCTTTATACCCCACAGTGGGTGGGAACTCTTCCCAGAGCAGTTCACCCAGCTCGAGCGTCCCAAACTCTCCAGCAAGCTCCGGCCACATTCGACCCAGCTCCTTACATGGACTTGCACCAAAGCTCCAGCGCCAGTACCGCTCCCCTCGGCGCAAGTCAGCTGGCAACATTCCCCTCTCCCCTCTGGCCCGTACACCTTCTCCCACCCCTCAGAGCAGCTCTCCTCAGCGCTCTCCTTCACCACTCTCCAGCCACACTCTTGGCCAGTCTGCCATGGGTCAGTCATTCCCTGTGAAGCTCCACTCCTCTCCTCCTCTGGTGAGGCAGATATCCAGACCCAAGAGTGCAGAGCCTCCACGTTCTCCGCTCCTCAAGAGGGTGCAGTCAGCTGAGAAACTAGCAGCCTCTCTCACTAACTCTCCTTCATCTTCGGGCATGGCAGCAGCAGCAGAAAAGAAGCTGGCAGTTGGAGCAGCTGTGGGGAGCCGTAAACACAGCCTGGACATCTCGCATTCTGAGTTTAAGAAGGAGATTCTGCAGAGGGAGCCGAGCTTACAGAGCCTCCAGGTAGATACTGCCTTCACACAAAGTTGGGTCTAACACATAATCAACAAAATAATCATAATAATGCGAGTTTGTTTAGGACATGCAAGTATTATGGTTCTTACATTTGGAAATATATCTGTTGTGGGGGAGATAAAAAGTTATTATTTTGATATAACAAATAGGCAATGAGATCCAAAATGTAAAGAAGAAGTCTTCGTGTGTGTGTGTGTGTGTGTGTGTGTGTGTGTGTGTGTGTGTGTAATTGTTCACACAAGTAAAACATCATCACAAAAAATGGCACAAAAACCTCAATATAATTTAATAGAACTGCATAAACTGTGTAGGACTTATTGTTCCCAAATGGTAACTAAGTTAAAGCTAAAATAAAATGTGTGTAAACTGGTGATGAAATGTTGTAGCTCTACTGAGCTTTGCTTCTTCTGTGGGGTTTCAGATTGCTTATTTTTCTTAGACACAAGCAGAGAAAGTTTTATTGCAGAGGTTGTATTATATACCAGCACAGTCAGGCCCGTAACCTAGTTTAGCTTTCCCCAAAACACATTATTGTTGAACACAGCACATTGCAGAAATCGATTAAATTCTAACAGTGGAATCCACAACACTGTCATTTTTTAGCTTCCCAGACAGCAGATCTCAGGATAGGTAACGGTTCTCTTCACTGTACAAAGAGTGGGATTTTCAGAATGGTGAGTGCTTTAACAAGGATATTCTGTGTCTGTTTCCTTATTGACCACTAGGAGTCATCCAGCGAGGGTCTGCTGTCTTCAGCAGGACGCGGCGTGGAGAAAGGCAGTCTGCACAAACACTCTTCTTCATCCAGGAAGTTAGGGCGGCAGGAAGGAGATGGCACACTCGGTGTGGTGTCTGGCTCGCTGGGTCTGTCAGCAGGGAAGAGCAAGCTGAAGGACAAACTGTCAGCCATCAGGCAAGACAGAGCTGAGCGAAGAGAGTCTCTGCAGAAGCAAGATGCCATCCATGAGGTGGATTCATCTGAGGATGAGACAGACGAAGGCTCAGAGGACAGCCAGGATGGACGCAGGGGGAATATGTCCACTCCACCTCCTCTTCTGAGACCCACCACTGTGAGAACAGGTCCTGGAGGCACGCTGCCATCCCTTTGCCTCTCCCCCTGCACTCCTCATGCTACATTCAGTCATACAGGGCCCTCTCAGGTAGGCAGACCCAGCCACTCGCACACTTTACCACCTGTTGCAGAGACTAAGCCCAGTCAGACTCCCTGCTCTCAAGGGTCAACAGATGGAAGCTTGGCCTCGTCCACAGAGGACGATGCAAGACGAGAGAGGAAGGTTCTAGAGCCCAGCAGTACAACAAATACCATTCAGGGTCCCCTTCCTTTTTCCACACCAGGCAGTGCATTCATCTCAGTTAGCAAGGACACTTTTATTAAGCCAGCTCCTCCAAAAGACTCAAAGACTGTCATGGGAAAGACTGTACCATCAGAACCCAGAGCAGATGGCCAAATGATCGACAGATCCAGAATCACCACTCCCTGTACAGAGAGCTCCACAGGTACTCCAAAGACCACAGACTCCAAGACCACCTCAAGTACTGCAGAGTGCCAAACCACTGACACCCGCGATACTGCTCGCACTTCTTGCTCATCTCCAGGCATCCCTAAGGAGAAGAAGGAGGCTGACAATCGGAGACTGTGTGCAGCTGCTGCTGCAAGTCTCAGCACCTCACCTTCATCCTCTTCCAGCTCTAATTCAAGTTCAGGATCCCCAGTTCCCCCTTCTGAAAGTGGGGTTGACAAAGTTGTGTCCCAGCTCGCAACAGTAGCTAAAAGTGTTCTGGGTCCAGTCAAATTCAACACCAAGGAGCAGAAACCATCCAGAGGTGGCGCCTCAGAAGTCCCACCTGCTGACCCTGTCCCTTTCCCCTCCAAACAGGTCCCGACCCTTCAGTCACCTCAACTCTCCCCAAACAGGCAGAAAACTCAATGCGTTGCTTCACCAACCACCACCAACCACATGAGACCAGCCAAATTGACCACCCCAGCTTCTCACCCTCGATCCTGCACAGATGTTCCAGAAAGGCAAGCATCAGAGTCTGCAGGCAGAGACAACACTGCCACCGCTGCATTTGCACAGAGGTTCAGTACAACAGCAGCAGCAGCAGCTCAGTCCACTCTTAGCACAGCCCCACCCACTTCTGCAGCAACTGAGCCTCAGCGCAAGAGATCAGACCCCCAGACGACGACAGCTGCCACTGCTGCCTCGCAACAAGACAAAGCAACCAGCAAGAAGACGTAGCAGCAAACCTACCACAGTACCAGAATAAAACGTAAAGATCACAGGGCTCAGTGTTGGCTCCAAGTTTTAAAACTTTGAAAAACTGCATGTTCGGGAAAAAAACACATTTACAACATCACACTAATCAGAAAGCAAAGTAAACGCACAGCAGGAGAGCTGAGAAGCAGAGCCAGATGTGGTAGTCCCAGCTTTAATCCAGCTGTTCTGTGCTCTTTATGATTACCTTATGTTCATGTGAGTTCTTGCTTGACAGAATATGATGAGGAGTTTGGGGGTCTTTGCTTTTCTGCAAACATATAAGGGGCTAGAAACACAGTACTGCTCAGCAGTCCAAGGAGACACTACTTTAAAAAGTACACACACACACACGCGCACAGCTTTTTCACTCCTCTTGTGCTGCCTCATTATCTCACCTTGATGTCGAGCAGAGCCTCCACACGTTCCTCGAAGAGATCAGGACGTGCCTTACTTAACGCACTCCTCTTTCTCCCTCTTTTCTATTCCTATTCACATCCCTCCTTTCTGAGCATCCACTTATGATTGACAGAAAGTTGTATCTGAGCAATAAAGTGCAACATTATATTTAGTAAACTGTTTAAATGCATTATAGAATCGTTAGTAAGAGTCAAGCATCGTCATTGTACATGCAGCACCCAGCGAAATAGGCCAAATTCTGCTCTCACTGTGCTCCCTGTAGATCCAACACTGTCGGCCTTCAGGACCCTCTGGGTCTGCTTCACCCTTTGCAGCCGACTGAACGTCTCTGAAACTTTTATTCTGTTATTGCACAGCAAACTGTGCACCTGCTGGACATTTTGCAGAGTTCATCGTTTTCCTGGATTATCCTCTGTTCCCAGTGTTTTTAATAGTTTTATTTCTATCATGCGCGGCTAAGTTTTTTAGTTTGTTTTTGTTGTTTTTTTAACTTTAAAACTGCTTAAAATAAGAGCATCTAATAAATAAAATGAAAACTTGCAGTGGTTTTTGCTGACTTTCTGACACGGCTGTTGTACAGCAGCGTTGGCTCGCACTGAGTGAAGTATCGGAGGAACAGGACAGGAATGCGGCCAAGTCAGTGTCTCTTCAGTGTTTGAACGAATCATTTTCACATAGTCTAAGCCCTGAAATGTCCTGATTTCCAGCAGATGGAAACTAGCACATTTAGGGTGAAGTACAGGATTTGTACAAATACTGAAATATTGTCTCTCCCCTCTTGTTTTACCAGATATATTCATCCATACATTGTGTCAGTTTTAGATGATTACCTTTTCAATACATGTATTCTTTACAAGGATTGTGCCGTACTCATAATTTGTTGCAGGTTTTCCGATGTCCTTTAACTGTCTTGACCCCATAATCAGTGTTTGAGTATTTTATATGATGTGGGATCAGGTTTTAGGAAGGGGAAACCCTGGACACTGCTATTTATAGATGTCAGCGGCTGTCCCATTAGGCCCTTGCTCTTTCAAAATGGACAGTGGATCTCACCCATTGTGGTATAACTGTGATCCTCCAGCTCCATTTTTATTTTTCTGTTCTGTGCAAAGAAACAGGGAGACAGATTTAGTGAGTGGTCCTGGTGGTGAGATAGGATTGTAGATTGCCGCTGTACGGCACTGCAGATGCAAAGGATTTGATCACGTGCCTGACTTTTATTGACTCAGTCGTCTACAAAAACCTAATTTAGTTATACCAGAATTCAATTAAAGCAGAAACGCTCAGATGCACCATTTAAAACAAAAGAATTCCAGTGGATGTAAAGTAACATGACCAGTTTTCACCCTGCTCTGCTGGGTCTCCATTCAGTTATTTTTGGCCCCCGTCTGCCTCTGAAGGCTGCACTGCTTTTATTTGGTATCAGGACCAACTCGCTGTGTTCATCCTGTAAAGTTTTCTTTCTGTATGACACGAGTAGGAATCTGTGCATGATCGTCTGTGTAGAATATTTCAAAGTATGTTGTGTTTTATACACTGTTTGCGTGGGTGTGTGTCCAGAATTCCCTGCAGCCTACCCGTGTATGTGTGCTGGGCTGTCGACATGTCTGTGTCAGTCATGAGGCTCTGCACGAAGCGTTGATCTCGCATGATTGGGAAGAAAGGCAAACTGTCACTGAAAGGAGAGCCGGTCTGGATGTTTGACCACTGATTCCGAGAGCTACTACTGTTTTTGCAGGTGAAAGCGAAAACTGCACTTAGCTTGTTTAATTCAGTGATTTCAGTGTTTTTTTTGTTTCGGATTTACACTTTAATGACGAACTGATTTGATCCTTAGTAATTTTAGTTTGATCTTTCAAAGTGAGCTCAAAGCACACAAAGCCCAACCCACAGGATGGCCTCTTCTCGTGTGTTTAAAGTGTTTTGTGTCTGGTGTGGAGCTTGTTTCACTGCAGGGGGAGCAGCAGAGTTCATTCGTTTCAGTTTGCATATTAAGGACACTGTAAAAGTGACTTTGACAGTGACTGTGGTAATCTGTATTATGTTTACATGTTGATTATGTTTGTTTGTGTATATGTGTTGGGGGGTGGGAGTGTCAATGGAACTTCTAACAGGCTAGGATGATTATCAGCAAGGTGAGCATAATGTGATAGGTTCATGTTGTGTCATGTGACGAAGAGTTTGCAAATGATGGCGATTCAGCACATTTCTCTGCTGTCTGTGGGTTTGTCTGTGGAACGCATCAGTGGCCGTTCCCCTCTGAGGATCAGAGCGCTCTGGCCGATCTGACGAGAGTCGGGGAGTTAATAACTTTTTGTACATCATCAAACTTGAACAGTTTAGTGTCAATGAGATTATCCGACCATACTGGATGTTGTTTATACACACAGTCCAAACCTTTTGGTTCTTTCTGTGGCATTATCAAGATAATGGTGTTGGGAGAGAGAATAGCCTGGAGCAGAAATCATTCTGTGGGCAGATTTTTAACCACTGATTAATTTTTAGAGCAAGTGAGCACGTGATTGTAAGCATGTGTAAAGATTTGAGCCCAAAAACTGTTCTGTCTGTGGACTGAAGCAAGAAACGAGTAGTTGGATTTATTTTAACTGTGTTCTCAGTTTTGGATTTTTCTGTTTACAGAAAAACTGGAACTAGAGTAGAGTCCGTTTCAACAGCATGTTTTCATGTATCCTTATTAAAAATCTACGTTATATATCAACTAACAAATGGTGACCAATATCAGTCAAATGTGAGTACTGCCGCCTCACAAATCTGCAAAAACGGTCTTTGGCAAAGACTGTATTCCAATTCCAATGAACAAACTTACGTGGATTTGACCTCATGGGTCATCTGAAAGCTAGCATTCACCAATAGGCATCAAAGTGAGGTTGGTGCTGGCAAGGAGCAAGCTCATTTTGCTATGATTGCAAACACAAATGTTGTAGTTTCATCATTTGTAAACCCCCACAGATGATAACCGTGTTGAGATTCCAGACCACAAAATATAAGTGTGCTCTACAACTTCTGTTCTCATGCAGCAGTTTTGTTCCCGATTGACCTCCACAGATCGAACTGAGTACACTGACCTGCTTATGGTGTCCCACGCTTCGTCCCAAGTCCTGGGATCGATTAACAAATGGAATTATGATTTAGTCACTGAAGAGCTTCCCTACGCTTCTGACTCACAAGCATCACAAGGATCGACGAGCTTTTACTGTGAGGCATATAGATGATTTAAACATGTGACTGTGGGTATGATGAGGTACGAGGAGAAGCGTTATTATTACCACTGAACCACCACTTCATGAGATTCAGTGCTGTTTCAACGTACATCCGTTAAACTGATATTAAGGGATTGTGTTGGCTCTGTAAAGCAAGAAAAATACTTTTATTGCCTCGAGTCTTGTAGACAAAGGCAGTATCTCCACGCTTTGTGTTGTCTTGTAGGAGTGATGAAGATGAGAAAGAAGATTTAGCTGTGTATTGTAAAAGCTTCAGAAAACGTTTAAGAGGGAGAGATGGGGGAAAAAACATTGCTAGAATAAAAACCAGTGCAATATCTTTTTATTTTTTATTGTGGTAAAAGCATGTTGTTGTCAATGTTACCTTGCAACAGTAATAAAGTTTTTTTTTCATACTCTACGCTTGCGTTGTGCACTGATTGATTGTGTTTTTACAATTTGCTCTCTTTTATGTGGTGCATCACGCTTTTTACATTAAGGCAGATTTTTAGGGAGAGTTCTTCCACTGAACACATAAAGTCACATCCAATAAATGACAACTGACCCCAGGTTTAAACAATGGCCCAAGCTGCTGATAACAGCTACACTGCAAAAAGGTCTCTTAAGTTATTTTGTGGCTGAGTCCTCGGAAGAAAATTCCTTTTTTGTGTTTGTTAAATGAAATCATTTAACTTGTTTCTAACAAATGTCACTAAATTGCTGATTACTTTTAGAAACAAAAGGGGGAAAAAATAGGTGGGTAATGTCATTGATCTTGAACTTGTATAACATTCAAACCACTGACAGGTGAAGTGAATGAGATTGATTGTCTGGTGCCAAGAGATGGAATTCATTAGACAGCAAGTGAAGAGTCAGTTCTTGAAGTTTGGAAGTAATGGGCAGTAAGTAATGAAGGGCCTGACTTTACTGTGATGACCTGGACAACAGAAACCTGAGGCTTCAAAATGTTAACAAGCCAACTGATGATGTCATGGCCACTTCATCCTTCTGTTATAGTCCGTCTGTGATGCAGTCAAAACAAGCGAAATTAATTCTATTTTGAAAAGAAAATACTTTTTTTACTTTCCTAAGTTTTAAAGCTTTTGATACTGATAAAACTCCTGTGACCATTTTAAAAAAAAATGTCAACAGTTAATTATTTACGAAATTAATTAATTAAAAAAGGGGAAGTCGACTATAAAAGTTTCTGGTTTTTGAAGTTTTTTTTAAACAGTTTAAAACAAATTAATGAAAAGATTGTAATTTCTGTTAATTAGCGAAACCTTTCATGTCTATAATTATAGGCAAGTCTACAATGACCTACTTGTGCTTAGTAGTTGTAGTTTAACATATTTATTTCTTAGAATCTTAACCCAAAGAGTCGTGCTGACTCTCAGATTTCTTTCAGCAACCTTTGTCTATCAAATTCTGCACACAGACAGAATTGGGAATTTTACTGGTCAATAGTCTGGCCCACTTACGATTAAAGGGACTCAATGTAATCCATCAAGGTTATGTTGAAATAGTGGTGAGTGTAGTTATAGTGTTTTAATCTGTTACATACTAAATTAGCAGGTATGTGTTTCTCTGCATCCCATTTATGGAGTCTTTGTTCACCAAGCTAGCAAATAATTTACACTCTTCCTTTTATCCTTTGTTGGTCACTTCTGGCTCCAAAAAATAGCCACATGGTGGCAGGCCCAACATTAACCGTGGAGATTCACAATACAAAATGTACAAATGTGTGGCATGTCTGCTGTATTGGTCTTTAATTTAAAGTCTATGTCCAGGGGTGCACATAAGTGGTCCGCAGGTGTGCATTCGCTGTCAAAATAAAAGACGCACACCAGATAAGAAGTTGCAACGCGCGTTTGCGTACATATAAAAGGCACTGTTTTTGTCCGCTAGAGTGGGATTTTCACGGCATATTCTGCACCACATCTCTGTGCGTTCATTATTCCTTTGAAGCCAGCTCACCTCGGCAACCATTTTTCCGAGAATACGTGCTTCTTTTGCGGTTCGGGCTCCTGACATTTCTTTGGTGGTGGAGGAACACCAAAGTAATTGCTTAAAGGAGCTTGCTTTTTCAACATCTTTAAGAGTTCTAAACAAACGTCTGTCCTCCTCCTGAAAATCTTATTTACGCAAACGCGCGTTGCAACTTCTTATCTGGTGCGTGACTTTTATTTTGACAGCGAATGCGCACCTGCGGACCACTCATGTGCAGCCCTGGCTGTGGATGAACCTGAGA